CATACCCCCTCCTCCCTCCAATTTAACTTCCTCTTTCCTTCTCCCCAAGTATTTACCAAGAAAGGCTGCTTTCACCATTGCACCTAAGCATCCGCTTATTCCTTTATTCTCCCCAATAGCTCGACCTGACGTGGCACCAGCAGTGCCATCATTGCCTTCTGAAGAAAGGGCGGACTGTAGCCACAAATGCCTCTCGCCATATCGCGTACACGACCATCCAGCAGCAGCTGCAGCAGCCATCAGAGACGCTAGGCGAGGCCTCCTCACCCACGCTACGCGGCTGCCAGACGCCCGCTCTTCTAGACTTAAGCCGTGCTTGACCCACGCACTTGTGCCGTACGGACATTCCGCCTCGCTATTTTCAAAGATTCTCACCCCGTCGTGCGCAACGTTTCCCCCACGCCCACCATTTCCCCTGGCGTTAATCATTCCCCTTCACGCCCCACTCCCCCCGCCCATCATCAGGCCGCCCGTGCCTTTTGCGCCGTTTCGAAATGCCCCGCGGCGCCCACCGCTCCGCCCGCGCTCGCCATGAGGCGGCAGGCGGCGGGCTGGAAGGGCGGCGGGAGGAGCGACGCGGAGAAGAGAAGCGAGGGGCAGCGCGCCGTGATGTCGAGCCGCCGCACCGCCTTCTGGTTTAGCCATGGATGCTCTAGCACCTCGAACGAGCTCAGCCGTTGATCTGGGTTCACGCGCAGCATCCGACGGACGAGATTCTTCGCGTCGGTGGAGATGCCTTTCCAGCTGGGCGACACGAAGTTGATCGGCAGAGAATCGTGAAGCGCGAGCGTCGCCGAATCGACGGCCGGGAGTCGCCCCGTTAGGATGGCGCAGAGCGTGATTCCGAGGCTCCACACGTCAGCCTTCAACCCGTACGAACCGTTACTGTCACATCGCGCAACTTTGGTCCCTCCCGCGGCGCCAGCCGCAGCGCCCGAGGCAGCAGCGGCTGCGGCGGCGGCGGCGGCGGATGCGGCCTGGTCCATTTCTGGCGCCATGTACTGCCGCGTGCCCGCGCCGAGATCCGCCTTCTTCCCGTTGAGTCCGCCTTTAACGACCGTCGACAGCGCGAAGTCCGCTAGCTTCACTCCCCAGATTCGCCGTCCCGCTCCCACGTGCGTCGCCGCGATTGACGGCGGAAGATACGCGCTCCAGGACGGCGTTTGATGGGCCTTTTCGGGTGCGCCGAGAGGAGGTTCGACAGTTTTGACCATCCCCGGAAGCTTGGATGAATTCGTCGCAGCAGTCGCACGGGGAAGATTTGTGATGTCGCCCAGCGGCTGTCGCTTTTTTGCCCGAGTTTTCGCCTCTCCAGCGTCTCCCGTCGCACGTGCCGTCGTACGTTCCACCGCGTCCGCAAACTCCGGCGCGTTTTCCGGCGGGCGAACAAGCAGCACATTGTCCGGCTTGATATCCCGATGCATCACCCCCGACGCGTGGCAGTACGCGACGGCCGACGCGATCTGCCGGAAAACCGTGGCGGCGAGCGGCTCGGCAAGCGGACCGCGCTGCATCACCTCCGATAGAAGGTCGCCGCCCGGTACAAGCTCCATCATTACATGCACCTCCGCCGCCGCGGCGTCGACGATGAAATCCACGAGGCGCACGACGTTGGGGTGGTCGCCCACCATCTCGAGCGCGCGCACTTCCGCGCGGATGTCGATGATGGCGGAGTGCGACAGGGGGAAGGTCTTGCACGCCACGCGCGGCGCACCGGGGGGCGCGGTGACGTCCTTGCACTCCCACACGCTGCCCTGCGAGCCCTTGCCCAGCTTGCGGATGCGGCGGTACCGCCCGCCAATCAAGTCGCTCATCGTCGTGTCGGCAGTCGGGCTCCCCGCGGGACTGCCCTCCGGCCCCGGCGGCGCGGGGCTCATTGTCGGCGGAAATGTGTCTCGCGCCGCGGTTGCGGTGCCCCGAAGTTGAGATATTCCGAGGAGGTTGAGGGAGACGTGACGCGTGTTATTGGTGAGGATAAGCCGATTTGTTGAGAATGCGGTAGAATCTCGAGGCCACGAAGCAGCTCTTAGGAGGAAAGCAAGAAGCCTTTTAAATCAGCGAAACTAATGACGGCACCTTGAGGTGCTTCTGCACGTCTATCCTTGGCAACTCGCACTGGATTTCGGTAGGAAATTATCGCACTTCAACACCTCCTTGAAAATGAAATAGTGTGATTGACTTCTCAAAGAGCCCAGGGCTCCAGGGCTGGCAATTATCGAGCAAGCGGTTCTCCAGGTAACTGGATGAGATTGACTCACGAGATGCTTGGTGGAATAATGGTTGCTCGTGCGCGTCGCAAAAGTCGAGTCCCAGGAACTAGAAATGAGGTAAGGTAGTGAGAACAGAGCTGGAGAACAAGACTGGAGTGGGCTAGGAAAGACGATGAGGGATGGCAAAGAACGAATGGGCAGATGGGATTCAAAATGCGCGTTCGTCGAGTCGCAACTCGCAACCCAATTCAGTGCTAGCAGTTAGGAAGAACTAAAGCTGCCCGATGTTGCCCTTTGGTTTTTCAAAAATGAACAACGCAACTTCTAACAAAAACACTCGCGTGCTTTATTTGGCACCAAGGGGGTAAAAGCATGTATATGTATTTCGGTATCTGCCCAGAAAACAATCACTGGGAACCATATCAGCTGGAACTGATATGAGGAATTATTGATGCGCGAAATTATTGGCGCACCTACCCTGCGAGCGACGTCAAAGAAAGGATGACACTGGCCTCCAATACTTCGTGGAAGCTTGGGGCAGCTTTGGGGGCGACGTTCGTTCGTTGCGCCATGGTGAGACTCGGAGAAACTACAAGACTGTTTTAGAGAACCAAAGGACATTAACCGTAGAAAGATACTTCCAAGCATCCACCACCTACACCAACCACAACATTCACAAGCTACCATTATTATACAATTATAAAGATTTTTTTAGGCGCATATTAAAAATAAAATTATCTCACGGTGACTTACTACCATAGCATAGCAGTAATACAGAAACACCTAATATACTCTGATAGGCAGCTTGACCTGTGCTGTTGTCAATTTGACTGGCTTGTATTGGGCCTGTAACTCTTTTAGAACGAGTTCAGAGCGTCATCCTTCAAGCATCAGGGTTCTCGTTTGTGCCACATTCGCGAACACTTGCGGTGGTGCGCCGCCGTTTGCGGTCCTCGGTCCATCATATTTCTGTGTGCCAGCTTCACCCTGGATTTTTCGTGACACAAGCTGAACGATCGTCGCACGAACCCATGGCCTCAGGACGTGGGCCCAATCGACTTTGATCGTGGCTGATCTGATCGGTTCGGATCGGGTCGGGTTGCTTCTGATCGCTTTGCCCGAGCCGCGCGATCAATAAAGATTTTCCACGGAAATTCTTAGCGCCTGCTTGGCAAACGCGAGACGATAACGGGGCACTTTCGCTCCAAACGTAGCGAGATTGGCGACAGACTCTACTATCCGAAATTTTTGGTTTCCCTGTAATGTCGCAAATCCCTAACAGCCCTAGTTGTGCCGAGACGTATGAGCGAGGAAAAACGAGACCAAGTACAACACAGCAACATTTCGCATGCATCGCTGTGGTCCCGATCACATGCGATCAACTGATCGTCTGTGATCGAGGGAAATCGACTCTGATCGGGGTAGAAATCGGGTCTGATCGAGGTGGGGCGATCAGCTGATTGCCCCCGATTGCCCAAAATTAGCTTCCCGCCTTCCTCGAAGTTCTTGATCGCTTTTGATCGCGCCGATCAAAGTCGATTGGGCCCACGTCCTCATTTTGTCGCACACTGGGAAAACATTCGAGCCGCCAGCGCCACATTTTGCAACATCGTGCTGAAACCTTTATTGTTTTATAGTCGCCCTGTTCCTACAAGTCATATTTGGGGAAACACTTGACATGTAGAGAAGTCCGATTTAGGCACAGCACGAACCTACACTGGTGCCTTTGCATGTTAAATTCACCCGTGGGTCCCCTTCGACGAGCTTTTTTCCAACATGATTCCGTCGTAACAGATCCCCACCCTTCGTGGCAACAGTCTTTATAAGCTGCCCGGCCATGGTTACCTCAGCGGGTAAACTGTCGCTTTCTGATCTCACATTGAGGTCTATCTGCGCGCTTCGTTACTTAGGCGAGAGAATCACTACACCAACTTCATAAGCAATGCCTCCCCCTTTCCCCCCCTCTCCCTTCCCCTCTCAACAGCGTAGCTCCGCTTTCAGTCACCCTCGGATTAGAAAGACAGCGCGCCCGCGCCTCGCCTGATAATCGTCGGCGAACCACTGACATACAATCTAGCGATATTTGTGGCCTCTTGCAGCCGCCGGCAGGCTTGCTCGTTGATGCCCAGGGCTGGAAAAAGCTCCAGCTATTGCCATGAAAATCAAACAACAGACGAGTCAAGATAAGTAATTCCACCTACACTGCTGCTAGGATAGGAGTCTCTGGCTACTCTTGCTTTCGTCCTTTGCCGTCGGATGAGATGATCCCTCTGGTGCATCGGAGCTCGAATGGCAGCCGTCGCTACCCGAATATGTCCCCTCCATTGACATAGCTGGGACTGTTACAGTTTTGAGTCAGGCGCTCATGTTCTATTTAGCGTTTGATTTGTCTGCGCGTGTCGCCGGTATCACTCGTTAGACAAGTTGGAGGCTGAACAACGGCTAAAAATTGCGCAGGCAGACAGACAGGGTGAACAGAGGGTGAGCCTACAGAACGTAGGGATTAGACGGAACGAGGAACAGAAAGAACGGACAGCGGAACGGACGGCGGAAAAGCCGACGAAATAGACAGAACGCACGGAGCAGGGCAGGCAGCGCACGAGGGGCCACGTGACTCTCGTAGGAAGCGAGGAGACGGACGGGCGCGCGAAATCGCATTGCGGTATAAGTTAGATCGCAACAGCGCTGTCGTAAAACTCCATCTTGGCTATTGTAGGCAGCGAGGAGACAGACGGGTGCTCGCGCAATTTGCGCCAGTCAGAGGCGCCAAAGGAGGTGCGCCCCGCCCCCATGACCCTCGCGGAGTCGCAGCCTCCTTTTGATTCGCACCGCGCATGTCATGCGGATGGCATCTTGGACGTTGCGCGCGCTCCAGCGCCGAAAGCTATTTCTGCGATCGGCGGTTCACAGCGCGCCGACCCTGTCGCTAATGGCTCTATGTTTTCGCAGGATGTAGTCAGCGAGGGAGAGAAATGCGGCGGCAATGTTTCGCACGAGGAGCTGATTGGTGGGCGATACCGTCGCATCCGTCGCGTCGGCGCGGGGTCGCAGGCTGTCGTGTGGGAATGCGAAGATGTTGTAACATCGCAGCGGGTCGCATGCAAGAGCTACGCGATGGCGCAGGCTCCGATGCGCGACATAGCGGCGGAGGTGCGATCGCTGGAGATCGTGGGCGACCATCCGAACATCGTGCGACTGCACGACGTGATCGTTGGGCGACAGGGAAGCAGCCGAGCAGGCGGAGTAGCATGCGAAGCGACAGGCGGAGCGGCAGGCCGAGTAGCGGAAAAAGGAGCAGGTGTAAGGGCAGGTAAAGCAGCAGAGGTAGTTAACTCGTGTAAGCATGATAACTCATCCGCGCCTCCGATTTCCGCCGCGGCATCTCAGCCGTTGGATCCATCCATTGACGCAAGCGTGCACGTGCTGATGGAGCTGGTTCCCGGCGACGATCTCCTCACGGAGATTCTGCAGCGCGGCCCGCTTGCCGAGCCACTCGCGTCGGCTTTGTTCCGGCAGCTCGCATCAGCCGTCGCGTACTGCCACGCGTCGGGGGTGATGCACCGGGATATCAAGCCGGATAACGTGCTTCTGCTGCGGCCGCCTAATTCCGCCCCCAGCGGACCTCGCATTGCGACCAGCCTTGTGAAGGAACATGCGACATGCTGCGCGACGAGCGTAGCGGCGGAGATCAGTGCAGGTACAGGGACGGAGCATGCGGCGGAGATCAGTGCGACGGTTGCGAGGCAAACGGGAGGAGCAGCAACCTTCGCGCGAGAAACAGCATGTGGAACAGCAAGCGGTGGGGCTCGAGCACCTGACCTGCCAATCTTAGAACAACCACGAAGGGTTACGCCTTATAAGGCTGTATTGAATGCCGCAGCCGCCGCGGCCACCGGAGCGAGCAGTGCCGCGTTGCCGCCAGCGGGCGGAGGGAGGAGGGCCGCGCGGGAGCCTCGCGCGGAGGAGGGGCTGTGGGGGTGGCTCATCGGCGCGCGGCTGTTCCCCTCCGCCGCGGGCAGAGGCGCGAGTTCCGACGCTCTCGGCGCGCAGGGGAGGGGCGCCAACAGTCCGCTGCGGGTGGTTCCGGGGAAGGTTGTGGGGAGGCGTTTCGCCGGGAAGAGCACGCGCGTGCACCCCATGGCGGGGGATGAGGCGGAGGCGACTTTTGGCGCGGCGTTGACCCCGCAATCCGCGCAATCCGCGTATTCCTCAAGCTCCTCTGCTTTTTCCTCGCTCTCTTCCGCCTGTCCCATCTCACTTGCGCCTACTCCCTCCCCCACCTCTATCCTCCCCTCGCCCTCGCTTGTGTCACACTCTCTGTCACGCACACCCGCACCCTCCACTCCCTGCCATCTTACAATCGCTGCTGGTGAGGAGATTGGGGAAAGGCGCTGCCCCCTCACGCCCACTTCCGCGGAAAGCAGCTCGTTTTCCGCCATGGGCGCGGGGTGGGCGCACGTGGGCGCGGAGAGGGGCATCTGGGGGTGAAGCTGGCGGACTTTGCGCTGTCCACAGTGGTGGCGGGGGGCATGCGCGGGGCGATGGCGGACAGGGGCGCGGGCACGCGGCAGTACATGGCGCCGGAGATACTCCTTCTGGCGGTGCGGCGGAAAATGGCCAGGGAGCGGCGGAAGGGCAGAGGGGGAGAGGCGGGGGGCAAGGGGGAAGCAGCTCAGAGCGAGGGTGGTGCTGGGGACGGAGGGGTTGAAGGGGGTGCAGAGGGTGCAGTGGATGCAGGGGGGACAGGGGATGCAGGGTGTAGCTATGGCATGAAGGCGGATGTATGGAGCATGGGCATCACCCTGTGCTCCATGCTCACTGGTCGCCTGCCCATTGTCAAACCGGCGAAGCTGCTGGCCATGCTGCATGCGCAGCAGCAGCAGTTGGAGCAGCAGCAGCAGCAGTAGCAGCAGCAGCAGCAGCAGCATCTGGAGTGGCAGCAGCAGTGGCAGCAGCAGCAGAAGCAGCAGTGGGAAAGGAGAGACGGCGATGTGGGGGAGGTGGGAAAGCAGCAGGGAGAGCAGGGAGGGTGGCAGATGTGGGCAGGTCAGTATCAGTATTCGCAACAGACAGCACTGCACGAGGGGGAGCAACGGATGAACCAGAACTACCATCGACAGCAGCAGCAGCAGCAGCAGCAGCAGCCCCATGTTATGGCATCTCAATCTCAGGACGAGCATACCCAGGCGACCTATGCACCCATGGCACAAGCCGCACACAGCTACACTGGTGGTGGCCCTGCATTCACTAGTACCACTCTCCATACAGTCACTCACCTTTATCCTCCAGATCCCAACCTTGCACCGGTGGACATGAACAGTAGCCTGCACATTGACTTCGAGTCTCCTGGCTGGAAACCCATCTCTGCAGCAGCGAAAGATCTCATCCGTCGAATGCTCTGCATCAACCCGGATCAACGGCTGAGCTCTCTCGAAGTGCTGGAGCACCCGTGGCTGAACCAACGGTCTGTGAGAAGCCGCGACTTGGCTGCTCTTTGCCCCGCCTTGCTGTTCCATCCACCATACCCATCCACATCCTCAGCTAAATCTACATCCACATCCATGTCCACATCCAGATTTACATGCACATCGACCTCCACTTTCATGTCCTCATCATTTCAAACGGCACCTGAGATGGCAATGTGAGATTGGCGTGCTAGGGGTCGTGCTGCCGATGCTGCCAAGGCCTGAGGGCGTATGGCCGCCACAGGCACAAGTAAGCACTGTTTCCCATGAGCGCTGGTATCAGCTCCTCCAAGAATTCCATTCGATGCTTGTTTTAGGTCAAGGACTAGAAGCTTACCGTAGGCTAGGCTCGGTTTTAATTAGGCTAGAAGCAGGTTTGGCTGGTGCACAGCCACCTCAGCTGTGCAAGTCAAATGCCAGATGTAGTACTGTATTGAGGTAGTTAATGATAGTTCTGTTTTCAGGCATGCTAGTTATAGGCGAGCTTACTTGCAGCCACCCAAATCAGCTGATTTGGCTTGGCCTTATGTGAAGGATGAATCACGCTACAAGAATGTTTCGAGTTTCTTTATTCTGAGCTCACTCTGAGTGTATATTTCTAAATGCTGCTCCGCTTTATCTCCGCCTGTGGGGCTGCTTGTGAGTGCAATGCTACCGTTGCACGCTCGAGTCTCAATGCTGGATGCGAAATCCTGGGTCTTGTTACCCAGCCCGATAGGAATTCGTTGTGTGATTGGTTCTTCGTCACCCACCACCCCCCAAGTTTCTAGAAATTGCAGCGGAGGTGCTGGTGTGTTCAAATTCGTAGTATTCAGCTCAGCCACGGATTTGGATTTGCGAGAACCGAGACACCTGCAAACGGGTAAATGCGGTTCCCCTAATTTAGGACTGCCTTGAGCGGAGGCATAGGTTAGCCGACGTGTGGCTTCGCAAGGCGAGCCCAGCCAGCTAAGAGGACAAAGTGCATGGCCACTGTGCAAGCCTTGCCATTCATGCATGTTTCAGCAGCTGAACTGTGAGCTCACCGCGCCACTATCACGCCTTCCGCTACCTCCCCTGCCTCCCGCCGTATCGCGTCCCTGCGGTCTCCGAGTCCTTCAGCCCGATGGGCCGATGTGTTGCTGTCGCCATTGCGAATGTGATGACGAGTGAGGAACTCAGAAGTGTGTGCGAGGGAATTTGTTCAGTCACGGTGACTTGGGACGGTGACTGAGATACGCTCAGTTCTGCTATACGAACAGGACTGGTTTTGAGAACGGTCAGTGTCTGATGCAGCCAGGACTGTTAAACGCCAGGAGCTCGCGGGGAGCCTTGACTTGAAATTCCTGTGGAGATCTGTAAATTAGCGTAGTTCTTGCTTTGATGAGTTCATTGTCATCCGGCCATGGCTAGCCATGATAAGAACGAGGTCTTGGAGAGGATAAATGTTTTCAAGCTCACAGCACTCTCTGATGCTGAGAATCATGAGGTAAAAGTGATGCCTCAGACAGTGCCTCTGATTTTCGGGTTCCCCGTACTAATGTGTCGAGGTGAGCGTGATGCCTGAGACAGTGCATCTAATTTTTGGGCACCTCTACGAGATGTCGAGGAGCATTACTAATACCCCTTGATACCTCTCTCATCTCCAATCCTCCTCCCTCCCCGCACACACCAGAGCGTGGACGTGGTTGATCTGCTGCCCGGCCCCATCTGGCACATCATCTTCCGCCACCTGCTGCTACCGCCAAAAGGTTTTACTCAGCTGGAGAATCAGGTTGACTCCCTGGGAGCATCGCAGCAGGGAGCAGGCAGCACCTCGCATGCCACAGCCAGTCAGCTCATTGCCATAAAGCAGCATGAGAAGGACACGAGGCGCTTCGGCACCTCCTGGCCTCTGCTGCGCTGTGCCATGGCCAGCAAGAGGTTTTTTCACCATATCATCTCCTTCTCCGTGAGTCATGGACGAATTTTTCTTTTACTTTTGGTAGACCCGTCTGTAACATCGACTTAACTTAACCGCACTGCTTTGGGCGCTAAACTGTTGCTTCCAGAGTCCTCTGTTGTGAAGGTGGGTCTTAAGCTAATTCTTCCCCGTGTGAGCAGGAGCTGGAGCCAACCACGCTTGTGTACGGCAGTCACGAGATTCAATGGACAGAAATGCTCTCCTGGTTTCTCAAACTCTCAGGTCACAAGTCCCTTGACCTCACTTGCACCAGCTTGATGATTCTGCAGAGCCTCAGCCACCTTTTGGCATCTTCTGCTCACTCCCTCACAAACCTGTGCCTTGGGTTCAGAGATTTGTCGTTCCGATACATCCCGTTTCAACACAAGCTGATCAACCGGCGTTTCTGGGTACTTTTGGGCAGCTGCAGCAGCTGATGCTTGGTCTTGGGAGATGGAAGTTAGGCAACCTGAAGGCTGCATGGTTTAAGGATTTAAGATGCCTGAGCTTTGACCATGTGGATTGCAACGGCTATGATCTGGCCTTTCTCTCGGCAATCACACCTCAGCTGCATGAGTTCTCTTTTTCCGCCGCAAGCCATCTCCCTTGCCACCTCAGTTTCGAGTTCTCCGCTGCTCGAGTTATCAAAGTCAGTTTTGAGCAGCAGAGGCTCATCCTCCGCTTCTCCCTCCCTCCCTCTTTGAAGGCCTTTTCAGCCACAGCAGATGCATTGGAGATCAACTGCAAGTGCGCCAGCCCACTCTCTCTTGACTCGCTCACTCTAATCGGCCGCACCCAGCTGCTTGTGTCTTCACTCCCACTGGTTTCCGCCAAAACCGTCTTACTGAATGGACCAACCACCCGCGTGCAGTCCAGCTCTCCTTGGGAAGACCTTTTCGCTGTCGCCTCCATCTCTCAACCATCTATGACTGCCACTCAGCGTTCCGTGACCCAGCTACTGAGCAGCATCGCGCCAACAGTGGAGATGCTGACAGTGAAGCATGGCATGCCGCTTGAGCAGGTGCTTGCAGAATGGAGCTGCCTGTGCCGCCTTGCCATCGGTGTGAACGGCAGGAGGAGAAGTGGTGGTCAGCTGCATTGGATGATGCTGAATTCCTTGGTCTTCTGAGGGGCTTTGTTCGGGGGGAAGACAGGGGGGATGAAGTAATTAGCCCCCCCTTCATCAATGCTCCAAATCTGCACTCGATTTTCTTAGCGACGAGGGAGTGGCACCTTGAAACCCTGGTTACTATGTGGCGGCACTTCCCCTCTCTGTCATTCTACTGCATTGTTGGGCGATTGTTTCGGTGGGAGGGGGAGGGGGAGGGGGAGAGGCAGAGGAATGAGCCGGTAATGCAAGTGAGGAGGGGCGATGGTGACATTAGCCAAGAAATGGTCCAGGATGATCGGATAATGAGCTTCCTTCTATCCCTTTGAGTGAGCTTCTACACGCTTTGAGAGATTTGACCTGAATTGCTGCGTTTGTGAGTATAACCATTTACGTGCACATCTACTACACCCGCTTCCTCCTCATATCAGATTCAACATGAGATGGCACTGTGAGGATTTGTCGGGCGTGTGCTGCTGCTACCTGACTTGTGCATGTGTCGGGCGTGTGCTGCTGCTAGGTCACCACATGCACAAGTGAGCACCTTTTTTTCTGTTTGAGGTAGGATCAGCTCCTAGGAATTCATTAGCTTGCATGCTAGTTCCAAGAGGTTGGGCTGTCGTATGTAGCCAACTAAATAGGATAGGAACCAGACAGGTGCGCAGCCACGTCAGCTGTGCCAAGTGTTAGTAATGCAGGAATGTATGTTCTACTGTTATCACTTGTTGCCAGCCAAACAGTCTACTCATGGGCCAGCTTGCGGCCACATAATACTGCTGAGTATAACCGTATGATCATTTTAATAGTGTAATTATTGCTTCCCACCTTACTGGGGAGGCTTCAGTTGCTAGTGTTTTCTCATCACTCGAGGGGCAGTGCAAGCAACCCGTGCGGAATGACCAGCTCTGATTTTGCTCACAGCGGGAAACTCAGACAAGCAATCCCAGGGTGCTTGTCCCTTGGTCCGACAAGGTCCGTCGGACCGTCGGAGCAG